TTCTTGCTTTTTTTTGGCTCAGAAATACGCTCAAACACGAGACTGTTTAGCTAATACAGTTCTTTCTTTGCCAGCGACGGAGCTGTAAATATGCTGATTTGCGCACCAGGCAAATCCAGAATGTGGAGCTACCGTTCTCCCGTCCCCCCTCTCCTCTCCTCTCGCCTGCAGTGCTGCTGCCCGCCAGCCGCACAGTGCCACATGTGCTTCCGTCCTAGGGGCGATGTCCCTGCTTGAGCTAGGGTTTTTTCCTCACATTTCTGCTGCTTCCTTCTCCAAAAGCGAGTTCTTGCATTTCCCAGAGACGGGGAGCAGGGGGAGGGAAGAGAGCATGGTTCTGCTCCTCGGCTTTTTCCAGGTGAGCACCTCAGTCCTGCCCGACGTCCCAGCAGCGCGGCTCCCTGTGCTCTCTGAACGGCTCCCGGTCTGCTGTCCTTGCAGTCAGAGGGGCTCTGCCCAGAAACAGGAGAGCAGAACTTGTCAGGCGAGAACATAATCCGTGATCTGGAGTCTCTCACAGACAGGTTTTGGAGTTAGTGGCTGGAGGGGGGAGGTGTAAGAAAGAGCCTATTTTTCAAAACTGGCATTTCCAGCTCTGTGTGGCCTGTAGCGGAGGATGCCCGGATTGCCTTGGAATCAGCGCTGTTCTTCAGGAGCAGCATGCAGTAAAACCCACCTCACCCGAGACCGTAAAGGGACCAGGTGGGGGCCACAGTCAGAGCATGGCTTCCCATCACTGCCCAACCTGTACGTACAGAGCCAGGTCTTGGGACAAAAGCTGTGGAGCAAAGGAAACTCGTAGGGATTCGGTGCACATTTTGATGCCTGCGTGGCCCTTCAGGAGAGGGCACCTGCCTGCCTTCGCGTAGCACAGCCAGCATGCAGGAGGCTGAGGAGGGGAGGGTTAAGACATAACCCTGCTTGTGGGTTACACCACTTCAGGTTACATGAGTAAGTGCTGGTGTAAAGGGCAATGAGATTAAGTCAGGTTGTCAGAATATGTTCTTTACTACAGGTGTGGTACTATTAACAGGATCACTAGCTTGAAGCTGATGTGTAGTGATAGGACAAGGGGGAATGGCTCAAAACTAAAAGAGGGCAGATCTAGATTAGATATTAGGAAGAAATTCTTCACCATAAGGGGCCAGAGGCTAGCCAGAGAAGCTTTGTCTGCCCCCTCCCTGGCAGTGTTCAAGGCCAGGTTGGACGGAGCTCTGAGCGCCCTGGGCTGGTGGAAGGTGTCCCTGCCCATGGTAGGGGGGTTGGACCTAGGTGATCTTTAAGGTCCCTCTCAACCCAAACCATTCTATGATTCTGTGAAATCCTCTCCCCTTTCCATCTCATGAAGAGACTGAAAAAAACAAACACAACACAAACCCTATTCATCAAAACCACTGCCTTGGCTTCTTCTTTAGGTGACACAATTGAAGGCTATCATCTGCTTATACATCCACTGACTTTACACCATGTAGTCGCTTTTAATCAAGCCCCGTTACTTGCCTGGTCTAAGAGATATATTCACTAAATATTTAACCAGCTTATGGAACTACTCCCAGAGCTCAGTTTCTCTGAGTGTTAAGAAACTGCTCAGGACAGTGTGACTCTGCACTCAACATCTTTTAAGATTTTAAAAAAACTGTAATAGCCCCACATTGAAATGCTTCTCAGGGCATGTGGGCACATCTCCTCTGTCCTCCTCCACCCCTTTTATTTTTTAACCTGGAAGAAAGGTTTAAAAAGCCACCTTTACTGGCTTTTGGACCTGGGGGTCCTGGTGGACACCAAGCTGAAGGTAAGCCAAGCAACATGCACTTGCCACAGATACGGTCAAGGGTATGCGGGGCTGCATCAGGAGGAGCGCTGCCAGCAGGTGGAGGGGGGTGATGCTTCCCTTCTGCTGGTGAGGCCTCACCTGGAGCCCTGTGTCCTGTGCTGGGCTCCTCAGTACAAGAGAGACATGGACATGCTGGAGGGAGCCCAGCACAGGGCCGTGGGGACAATGAAGGGATGGGAGCACCTCTCCTGTGAGGAAAGGCTGAGGGAGCTGGGACTGTCCAGCCTCGAGAAGAGAAGGCTCAGGGGATCTCACCAGTGTCTATAAATACCTGAAGGGAAGGCGCAAAGAGGAGGGAGCCAGGCTCTCCTCACTGGGCACCACCAAAAGGACCAGAGGCAATGGGCACAAACTGGAACACAGGAGGTGCTAGCCAAACATCAGGAAACACTTTCTGTTACTGCAAGGGTGGCTGAGCACTGGCACGGGTTGTCCAGAGAGGCTGTGGAATCTCCCTCATTGGAGATACCCAAGAGCCATCTGGAGAAGGTTCTGGAGAAAGCCCTGGACAAGCAGCTCTAGCTAGCCCTGCCTGAGCAGGGAGGTCCCTGCAGAAGTCCCTTCCACCATTACCCGTTGTGTGATTGTAGAATGAAGCCTCTAGAGTAAAGGACTACAAAATGGAGTCCTGCATCCTGTCACCTTAGCTACTGCCACCTCAGACCAGCAGGAGGGCCTCCTTGCCCTTAATGGCCTACACAGAAGAATGTCTCAGCAACTGTCCTTCAGCCTGTCAAAGGCTTTTTGCTACAGAAGAAAGAGCAAGATAGATGGCAAGTGGTAAAACAGAGAGGAAGACTAAGCCTGACTCCTGGCCCCTGACATTTGTAAGAATACTGAAAATCACTTACTACAGATACTGATTTTTTCAAACCTTTTTTTAACTTCTTATAAGACACTTTAAGTCACCTCTCTCCCTCCTCAATTTAGAGGCTGGGGGAGGTCCCCCCTCAGCAGTCTTAATACCATCCCCCTATTCTCACACTATTTGCACCTTCAGTAATGGACAGCTTCCTAGATAACGGCATGTCCCTTAAGAGCTTGCATTGTCTGCCAGAGGGATGGCTCCTTCTGCTCCTCTGATCAGAGACGTTTCAGTCAGCGTGACAGGCAAAGAGCTCAGGACAGTATTACACCAAATGTATTACACCAAACTTCAGGACCTGTCTTTAAAGCTCTCAAAGAAAGCAGGTAGCATCCATGTAGGTATTGACAGGAAGTTTCATGAAGGGTAACAACGCACCTGCATGAGTGGTTAATGAATGCCAGCCATGGCCAACCACTGTCAAGGTTACCTGGCTCACACAGGGCCACAGAGACAGGAAAACAAGTCTGCAACCATCACATTAGTTAAATAAATGGCGTGCAAATCATTGCTGAAGAAGAGCTGCTGGTGCCTGAACAAATCCAGTAGCTACAGCAGTGCTTGAGCTGAGAAAGTGAGGCTTGCAGCGACATTCTGAACGAACAGGAATAAGGACGGATGTCACTGGCTCCAGACCTGATGATTTCCAGTAAGGTGTCTGCTTTGGCAATGGCAAGACAGAAAAAAAACTACAAAACCTATACTGAAAAATCTGCCCGTCAGCAAATTCAATTGGTAAGGTTGGTGTATCACTGAAACTTAAGTTAAAGTGAATAAAACTATCTCCTAAGGAAATAAATCTTCTCCTCTTCTTGTGCAGCCTATTAACAGTCGGGGCCATTATCCTATTAAAAAAATTGCTAATATAATCAATTACTGAAAAGCAATGTCACTTGGACTGTGTGTATGTTTCTCATTTCATTACCAATTACTACAAAGAACAGGTTATAGAAAGATCTTGTAAAATTCAGTTGGATTCATCTCTGTGCACAAGAGACTTCCAGGAATAATAGATAAAAACATGATTTATTACACTGTACAAAACTAGATTCAGAACAAGTCCAGAATATAGTACATAATTTATTTTTTCTGTACATTACATATTATTTGTTAAATTTAACTGACAAACCCAGAATTTCCCTAATTTTTCTTTTATCTGCCTAAGCCAAGCAATTAATTTTGTTCTACAAGACAGAAGAAAACAGCTTCCTGGGGAATTTATCATCTGATTAACTAGGCAAAAGGTGCTTCAGCTCAGCCTGACTTTCAGCGTTTCCCACAGCTTGTAAAGACTTCTCAGGTTAGAACCTCAGCTGGTAGTATAACGTCCTGCCACTGTACCAGTCCAGAAACAAGCAACTCCATTCTCATTAAATTTCAGTAATGTCTTCTTCTTAGAAGATGAATTAACGCAGTTGCATTTGTAGACATACCAAACAGTGTAAATGAAGGCTGCAACCATCATCACAAAAATCACTTTCCAGTAGCCCCAGACCTGTCTCTCGAGTTATGCAGGATGTGCCAAGATAGGTTATATGTTTAATAAAGTCCTTAAGAAAAATAAATATTTTTACATAATTGTATGTATAAAGATTGGTTGATTTCCTTCATTCATAGGTTCAACAACAGATATAACCACAGCTACAGTTTATTCACAAGCTCACAACGATTGTTACCACCTTGGTAACTGATGTATTAAGAGTCCAGGAAGATATTGGCCTATTCCTTATAAACAGTGCAAATTATACGGAGGCGTTTTGAGAACAGCGGCTTAAAGAAAGACAGATTAACAAAAAAACCCTCCTTTGGTCCCTCTAAGAGCAGTTTAACTCTGCCATAAAATTTTCAAAACTCCCCCACATAACTTTAACCACTTATTAAGGCATCAAAAGAATGGGTTTGAAGTTGAGATTAAAATGGTCTTTCTTGGACTTGAAAAGAAGTCTGCTGCAGATTTCCCGACAAAGAAATTTTCTTAATGTGTCTCCTCCTCATCTCTTGTCTGCACAAAAACAATACCCCAAATAAACCTGTCTGATAATCTCCCCAATATCTTTTTTTAAACTACAGCAAAACATGACATGTAAATATATTGCACAAAAAGCATAAGATATCCTGCCTGATTCTTCACAAAATGGCCACAAACACAGGAGCACAGCTACTGAACATCTCAAAATTGGAAGAGATCAATGAAATGCTGAGGAGATACTGGCATGAGACAGGTGTTTGGATCACTGGCTGTGCAGGGGTGTCCTGTATCCTGCAGAATGAAGGAGGGAAAAAAAAAAAAGTTAAGTTCTCTTTCCACACCTACAATCTCCATCCACCCCCAATTTAAAACAAAAATTGCAGAAATACACATACAGGCACATGCAACTACTTCCACTGTCAACAAACTGATAAGGAACTTGCTCTTTAAGAATTCACCATTTTTTTTCCCCTCTAACTGTTTTAGACTAAGTTGTTAAGAAAATACGCCCTTCCAGTTTGACTGTGGTAGTGCAGAGTAGCTTTAGATTGCAGAAAGAACCTGCAAACCCTCTCCTACCAAACCCAGAACCTGAGTCAGAGCTCTTGAAAAACGCTTCATATTGCTTATCTGTTATTTTTCATAAGTGTAATTTAAAAAAAAAAAACAACAAAAAAAACCACCTGCTTTGTTGAAGCTAAATTGTATGTTTAATGCAAATCTGAAATCAACTACTGCTTCAGGGGGGGAAATGAGCTCCTTGCTGTCAAAGTGAAGGGCAGCAGACACTCCCCCAAGAAAACCTGAACAGCATGTTTGAAGTCCCAGTCATAAAAGTCCTTCTACCTTGCTTGTTTTTATTCCTCCCCCAGCATCTTTTTCTCATCTTTCACTCCTGCCTTTTCACCATCTGAGAGCACTGCCTTAAAACACAACTAACACCCAGGCAAGTTAGGAATACAGAAGGCAGATGGTTTGAAAGACTTTTCCTTATAAATTCAAAGCCTGCAGTGCTTCCATTAACATTACGGAAACTTGAACTCCGCACAACTGTCTGATAATTTAAGATTCAGATTCCTCTTCAAATAAAAAGTTCAGGTTTGCACCTTATTAGAATGCTCTGAAGGAAGGAAATGCTAGAGGTGTAAGGAGACGAAGGTCCCAGACAGCTCAACGGAGAGGTTAAACACCTTGATCAACAGCACTGTAAAGCTCAAACTGCCCTCCCCAGGTTTTAAGGGGTTTCTCTCCCTTTTCCACCAGTGTTGATGAATTCACCATGAGGGGCAAGAAAACTAGAGTAACTACACAGTAAGTAGACAGCAGACCACTGCAGTCTTCATTTCTTTCGTTTCCACAGGAAAATAAGTTACATGCAATTCAGTTAATAGCAGGAAAGAACCTGTAAGTGAAATTTTTTTTCTCACTTGGAAACTTATGCAAGGGAAGTGCTGTCAAAGACGCACATTCCCTTCCAAAGTCTATGCAACACCAAAGTGCACTAAGTGAAACAGTCTACTACTCGGCTTTTCCAATGAAAATTGTTACTCTAGAGATATTTTATTATCTGTGTTTTTCCATTAAGTCTATGGATGACTACATGAAAATATCATGTGATATCACCTCCTCATCCTTCCACTTTTTTTAATAATTGCTTTAACATCACCCGAGAACCAGTTGTTACATTCATGACACATGGGGGAAAACAAAGAAAAAAAAGAGGACAAATAGATGAGACCTCAGGTAGAACTGCCTGTTTGGGGGAATTGCAGATGAGAACGAACAGAAGACTAGGGCCAGAAGTGTTCAACCTAGCACCTTGATTTTGAGATGACATTTGCAAGCAAGAGATACACCACAGCAGAAAACACTCAGAAGTAGTTGCTAATGAACTATCATCTTCTCTACCCATTGCCTTGTCAATGTCTTGTCATTACTTCTCTAGCTTCCAGGAAAAAACACCATCAGAATTAGGATTCAGGAAAAGAAGCTAAGGTTTATTCCCTTTTAGCGTGTATTTATACTTCTACATATTTTAGACAGAATTTGTAACATGCTATCTGCTTTGCTCCGCACATCATAATAAAAACACTTTTGAAAGCTCTGCTCAGTCAGGAGGCATAGGTCTGATACAGGTATCACTAAAGTCAGTTCTCAGGGTTTTTAGCAACAGAAAAAGCAATTCTACAGTGAAAAAAAAAGTGGCAAGGATTGAAAAGATGACTTTCCTGTAATTATGAGTATTCCTTCTTCCAAGAAAAAGGTATTTCCCTTAAAATTACGTTTAATAAGTAGTGTTCAAATCATGCTGATTTTCAATGCATCTACTTAAAGCTAAAACAGAATTATTTTAAATTAACGAGAATTCACCAGGAGGAGTGTTTACTAGCAAATGTATTTGTTTTCCTCCTCAAGTTTTATCATAACTGGAAATTAAGAAGCTCCCATAACAACTTTGGAGCTACAGTCCTTTTCTACATAATGTATGCCTCCCCTCACTCTCCCAAGTCATATGCAGCCTGTTTTGGGAATTTCTTTTCAGAGAGACTTTCATAAAAGTATGTGTGACTACAGCATTCCGAGTGGAGTAAAATCAGTTTTAGTACCTTGGTATTAAAGAAAGTTATCTGAGATTCATGTTACTGTTTTCAGATTTAAGTACTGAATGAAATACATCAGGGAGTGCAGAAATGGTTTCTAACTGAGCGCAGAGGAACCCATTTCTTAGCAAATCTTGCTGATATCACTGACATCACACACCCATGTCCATTAGAAGTTGAATTATGGTCCCTAGCTGAAACAGCATTAACAGGGAATCTGGCAATAATGAAAACCAAATCTGATGAAAAACTGAGATGGAAAGTCACCACTACGTTATCTGAAACAATAATTATCAAACACTTAGAAATGAGCACATTATTCACTTCGACATTACAGATAGTCAGCAACGAAAAGAGATGAGACACACAGGAAATACCTTGAGTAACAAAGCAAGGTGGTAGTCCTTTGAGATCATGAAGGAGGAAGCAGGAAGGAGAGCCATGAAGTAAAACAAGCAGAGGTAAGGTTCATCGAAGCTAAGATGCATGTGCCATTTAGAAAAACAGTCTTTTATTCTTGTGGCAAATCACAAGGAGCTGGACAACCAAAACCACAGTAAGCCCCAAGAGTAAAACCAAGTGTGAACCATATCACTTATGCAAAACAATTACACTACTTTACATAAAGCGCTGGATATTGAAAGAAGAAAAGGCATTTGTACTCCTATGGCCATCTCGGGGATAACTGAAACGTGCTACCGAGTTAGCTGAGAAGATAAAAGAATTGGCCATGACTGCAACGCTGCCTAGTGGAACAGAAGAAATAGTATACATAAAAAGCATTCACAGAGGCAATCAATCAATAATTAGTCTGCCATTACTTTTACGCTACTGAAATTACATATTTTTCTCCTTTTCATCATGGACAAATCAAGTCACTTCTCAGACAGTTATTTGACATGAAGAGTTTCTTACAGTCATTCCCTCCGTTAGCAGGAAGAGTCCAAGATGTTCTGTTATACTGCTGTACCTCCTACAGCGAATTTAGAAGTCTCCTTCTTGTTGTATTGTATGGTCACAGGTTTTAAACAAATAACAGGAATACAAATGCCACTTATTGGAAGTTCTTAAAGACTTCTTCAAAGTAACACTAAGATTATTATAGCATACCGAAAAGTGAGAAGTCACTTCCCTGCTCGAACTGTTTGCTCATTCAATTCAGTAGCCATCAGTCCCTTCTTTTGCAAGGCCTTCTTTAAAAGGACACAGAAATGTAGGACCATAAGAATTTCCTGTGTGTAGCCCTCACGTTGCCAGCAACTACATTATATTATCAATTTCATAAACTGATACAAACTGTTCTCAACCTAGCTAGGCCTGAGCTTTGTGGCTATTTCAGAACCTTGCTGCTTTGGTTCTTGGAAACTCTTAACTCTCAGCATAAGTTTACTCACAAGTAGTTTCCACAACTTATCTGCATCAAGGCTGTCCCTTAGCTTAAATATTTTCCCTAGGCAGTCTTACATTTATTTATCCCTTCTCTGTCTAAGAAGAATTTATAGAGAGCAATCACATTCCTTATTAGCTTTAACACAGCTAAGTTAAATTAACCTCTGCTAGACTTCTTCATGCCCTCATCACTTAAGTACTTTTTCCTCAGCAACTATTCCAATGTTTTGCTTTGTTCTTGAATGAGGGAAGACAAAAAAAGCAATATCAAGAAGTGTTCAGCTCGTTGGCTGAAGTTCTTCTGAATGCTCTCGAAAGCAAAAGCTGTCCAATTTTACAAGTGTACCATTAAAAGAAGAAACCAAGTTTTTACATATTATAAACTATCTGAAGAATCCGGTGCTTCCGTTTGTTCCAAGATTCAAACACTTGCTGCTTTTCCTCCGTAAAGTAACTGTGACTTCTCTTTTAAAGCTTGTTTTTGGTGGTGTGGGTTTTTTTGCTATACGCCCGATAGAATTAGACAGAGTAAAAGCTTCAGGTAAGAACAAAAACCTGCACATTATAGACACAATTGTATGTCAACCACTCATATACATATTTAATAATCTGTCTAATCGAGTATGATACTGAAGCCTGAATGAATTGTTAAAGCCTGATAAAAGTTTTGATTAAGACGTATTTTTGCCTAGCACAGAACTTTTCTAGAACTAATAGAGCACCTCCTGTCCCACTGCCCCCCCACTTTGTTTCTCATCTCTCTTCAGAAAGCTTGGGAAAGGATATAGCTATCCCATGATGTTATCTCCCCCCCCCCCCCCCATAACTCAGAGTGACTACCACTGCTCACACTGCCCTATAGACAGAGGGACCATTTCTCAGACCAATGATTGACCTCTTCGTGTCCCTGCCAATAAGGGTGCCAGTTGTGCAGAAATCAATTCATTTAACAACGTATTTCTGTCTGATCAAACATTTTAAGACAGGGACGAGGCTTAGATTCCAAGGCCTAGACTGCAATGCACACGTGCAGAATAACCAGGCTGGGAGGCACCTTGGGAGGTCTCTAGTCCAGCCTTCTGCTCAAACCAGGGTAAGCTATAAGATCAGACCAGCTTGCTCAGAGCTTTATCCAGGCAGGTCTTGAGAACATAAGATGGAAACTGCACAACCTTTTATGGTCTAACTGTTCCCTTGCTTGGCTGCCTTTAGGGCAGGCTCTTGGGTTCCTCTGAAGCAGTCTTCTCCAGCCTCTCCTCACAGGGCAGGTCTTCAAGCCTCCTGACTATAAACGACCCTCACCTGGACTCCATCTCTTGATCACTTTTCTGTAGTGGGGACCCCCAGCTGGATGCAGTGTCCCCAGTGAGCGCCAAGTGAAAAGGGAGCATCACTTTCCTGAACCTGCTGACTGTGCTCTTGTTAAAGCAGCCAATCCCCAACACCTGCTACAGAATTTTAGTGCAGAAGCATGCAATTAACATATAACCACACCGTCCCTTTAAGCCCTCCCCAAAACTCCAGGATGAGGCAGTCAGCACTGGAATGATGATCTAGTCGGTACTGCTCATCAATCCACACAAAGTACCTTCACAGCTTACAGCCTTATGTTTCACTGAAAATGCAAAGCCACAAAACGAGTGCTATTATTCCACTAGCAGACTGGGGTAGTCAAGGTACCAAGACATCTACTTGCACAGGTTCACTACCTCTTACTGTCACACACAATCTCCAAAGTTAAACATTTAATTCCAAACACATCTAGTCATTCCTAATATTAAGTGCTATGCTTTCAATTATACGAAGATCGGAATGAGAGAAATTTACTGTAGAAAGCATCAACCCTTTACACAAAGCCAAAGAATCCAAACAAACCTGATACCAAAAAGCCCACCTGTATGCATGCTGTGGGCTTACCTTTAAGATTTCCACTTCCAAAAAAAAAAAAAATTTACCCTACATACTGAGCAACATGATAAAGACTAATTCCACTGTAATGTCATTCTTGACACAGGCTCTTCAGCAAATGCCTAGGCTTTTCACAGCAGAAGCTAGTTCTCACTACCTGCTTTCCTACTATGAATTTAACAAAACATATTAGTACCTTGAAAGGCTCCTGTGATATAAACGATACTCAGCTTTAAGATAACATCATTCAGTAATATGCTACTTTATGAAAGCTAGCCTATCCTGTCAAACTGCCTAGTTTTTTCTACGGAAAATAAAAAAAAAGCCTTACGCTGACATGCAGCTCCTCTTAAAATTACAGAAAGTCGACACACGAGCAACTCATTTCTGTGAATTAGAATATGAGTATTTTCCAAGATTTCTCAAACATTTTGTGCTCTTTGCTGTCTGCCTAACACTACCCATATCTGGTCTTTGAGCTGCAAAATCAAGAGTCTCACTGATCAGAAGGCTAAGTTATGGTGCAACACAAAGTAAAAGCAGGACTATGCATTCCCACACAAGTTAAACATGAAAATGCCCTACAGAAACTAAAAATCATCCTGTAAGACAGTATACGCTTCACGGTAAACATCAGCATCAACATAAAATACATTCTCAACGAAGGTTCAAACACTCCTCCAAGCTTCGTACGGCACAGAAGCAAGACTAAAAATACAGAGTTTTACATTAATGTAGTAGGAATACTATAGTGATAAGTTCTCATTAGAGACATATTGATTGCCATGCCATCATTAGAAAAGGGATGTCGTAAAATGGCTAACTTCATACAAGTTCTTAACAAGTTTGCATAAGATCGAAGAAATACAAGACGACAAAGGACTTCTTGCAATTCTAAGCACTGAGGTTATCTGATATCAAGAGATAAAATGCTAGATAAAGAACAATTTTGGAATTTAATACTGATTTTATATAGAAGTTTTATATATGATTTAAAAGTTAGATATTACTTAATCACATTTCACATGAGAAAACGGACAAGATGATCTCAGTATTTTTCCTTTCAGAAGATCAGCAGTAGTTGTTTGAACTTATTTCTGACTATCTATTTCAAAGCTCTTACCTTCCAAAACAGAATACTACAGTGTCGACAGAAATGCAAGGTGTCCCCATACTGTTCCTTTATTGGGTAATATTTCTGAAGCGCAAAGTACATCAGCTTCCAGTCAATGTGACCTTTCTCTGTTAGAATCAAATGCCTACAAAACTGGACATAAAATTAATAATTAAAATCTTCCTTTGTTAAAGAACTAGTCAAATCAGGTACAGAACTGAGATGGGGGGGGGAGGAGGTAGTTACACTGAAGTTTTGTAACTGGAATTCTTTGACGTCGATAATCTGACATCATACATCTCTGAAAAGCACTGAGAGAGCTAGCCATAAAGAAATGGAACATAAAACACTAAAAATAGGAGAGTGCATATTTGCCAAGATTAAGTAGGCCATACACAGCTTATCTAACTCCACTGTCTTGAAGTCATTCTAATTATAATCAATAATCATATAACAAAAACAGTATTTAGAGCCATAAGTAATTAATTTTATACTTACAAAAACTACTCTGGAATGAGATTTTAAAAAAAAGTGTGCATTACAAATAGTGGTTTTCTGTTAAGGCAGAAACTACGGCTTTAAATAATGCTTTTTCTTTCATTGTAAAAGTATATACATGATTATTTTTCACATGTACTTATCTTTCTAGAAGGCTAGCAATAATCAGCAATTGATGTACTTCTTGAGGACATAATCTACATGTAAAGATTAGCTGATGCACAATGGCTGTTTCTCCCCAGCTTAATACACAGCCAAGGTTTATTAAGTATGTATTTGTAAAGGGCTTCTTGTTCCACTCAGTGTGGATTAATGCTAATACATTAAGGGCTCTCTTCATTCAGAAGACGACTCCGAGATGGGGAGAATAGGACTGCCTTTGTGATTTCAGCTACACTTCACTTCGTTTCATAATAGCTTCCCTGTATAGAGTTCTCTTTTTTTCTGAAAGTGCTCTTCAGATATCAAGTATGTTTTTGTGGTTGTTTCAATGGTTCTACATAACCTCATATGACTCTGTAGCTTATTAAGGTAGTACACTTTTAAACAGAAAAAGCAGAATTTTATATTGGCAAATAAATAAAATCATTAGATTTGTATCATTAATAACGTGGTAAGAAAATTAATATGCACATTTAGGAACACATTGCAAACACTGTGTAGAAGTGTCCTTTACAAGGCACAGGGCTAGCTAATTCTACCGAAATGCTTAAGCGATCTTTTCCCCAGGCTTACCTTAGCATAACAACTTCCACTCCAGCCAGTTCTGTCACTGTTCAGTAGAGCTCACCTCATCTACTCTCAAAATCCATTCAATTGCTACATTAAGCTTAAACTTCTTATCCTCGTAACTTCACCTTGCATTCTTCTGAGCTGTCTCTGAAGGAGGGTTTTTCAGTCTGCCTTTGTCTGTCTATATTCGCCATGAAGTTCATTCTAAAACCTTTCATCTCACCAGAATTCTTATTTGGGTCAACTCCAACATGAGTTAATTATCTTCACTTCTACCTTTCCTGTCATAACAATAATAATCCGGTAGTCACTGACCAAATGGTACCACTTCAACCTATCAGATTTAAGAACAAGTATTTTCACTTCCTGCAGTCTGCTATGTACTAGGTTTTTAAAGTTCTTCCTCCAGCTCTGATGTGGCAACTTCTATTTTCATACTTTTATTTTCATCCAGTCTGATTTTGTTCCAGCACGTATTACTGTCAGAAAATGAAGTCAGTTCTGGAGGCACTTCCAGATTACTTTAATGGTTTTTATGAGGAAGACAAAAAAGTACCATTTCTCTTTTTGTTCTTAATTTCAAAATCTCAAGAATTTGTTCTATTCTTTTTTGCAAAAATCCAATTTTGGCTTCAGCACACTGTTCACATAGCCTAGAAGTTTGAGCAATCTGTCTCCCTGCCTTGATTAGTAGAAGAAATTCCACTTTATGTACTAAAATTAGAAACACCTTAGAGGTACCCTCTACCACACTTGTTGAGGACTGTGTAGTAAGAAAAGTCATTTTATGGTAACATTTTTTAAAGTAATGCAAGGAAACAGCACGATAGTTATTCCAACCTTGCAGACATGCTGTATACAATTTTTAGTATGAAGCAAGCCCCAAAAATAGAGAACATTTTCACTATTACTGCACACTGTCACATTTTTAGCTCAAAAAGGGTGAGTTCACACTTCATTATTAGTATACCATATTGCAAAGATAAGGGCCACATTTATGCAAATGACAGAGCTCATTACCTGCTTTTCTGCAAAATGGTACTGGCAGAGTTTTTTCCACAACTGCCTGTCTTCACTGAGCATGTACAAAGTTGGGGTCACTTGACCCAGAGTAATAATGTCCCAGCCATCAGAGAACCTGTATAAGATGTTATTCAGCATATGCAGAGGGAGATCGCTAAGCGTAAGACCATTGTTGACGTGCTGGAAATAAGAGTTGAAGACTTGTAACTACAAAAACTTGACAGTATAAGGCACAAATAAGATTCTTACTTCAGAGCTATCTCAGGTCTTAGTTTGTACAAAACCACCGAGTAATATCTATGGTTAGATATTGTTAGAATCTTTGATTACTTGGCTACTATTATGCTCTAACTGCTGTTGTTGAAAACTTAAATGACTACAGGTACAGAAGGAACTACAGACTGTAGGTTTAGAACTTACAGCTTTCCTACTATTAAAATAAATGTATCGTAAATTCTTCATTTAAATTTCAAATAATTTTAAAACACTTCTCTCAGAAAATCATTCAAGAGCATATAGTCTTGAAAACTGCAATATATTCAATTCCACCTTTGAGAAAAGTCTAATAAAAACCTAACTGTAATATAGGTATTAACCAATTACAGTTTCTCAATTTTTTATTAAGAAACAGAGCACATGTCAATTTGCCTTAAGACAACTAGAGTACCGAATATAGGCCTGCCGAGCAGAAATATAGAATGAAAACATTATGAAAGTCAGAGGCAGAAGAGAGTAGGTTCGTTTCTGAAGTCTGGAGACAGTTCCCTTCCTATGTAAACAAGGAATTCTGTAGAGGGTGACAGATCAGAGCACTGAGAAAGTATTCAATGAGGAGCCTTGGCTGCCCTATGCAGCTGGCGAGGGAGGGAGCAGGGGCAGCTGCCAGCCCCAGCTAGCTGGGCTGCCCAGACGCAAGGCACCGGCAGCACAGCAGCTGTACTCTAGCAGGCTCTCACTTGTGGCAGTTTGTTTCACAACCATTCATCTCACTCTGGACTAGACTTTCCATAGTGCCATCTGTTATAAAGTTTCTCTGGGACTATCCTTCTGTTCAGGAATATGTGAGCATTACAGATGCAAGATTGTAACGCAAGACTTCTCATCAGTTATTTCCATCTGAGCTGTTTTACGTTGGTTGAAGTGGCACGCTGGAAGGAAAGAAACAAATGCAGCAACTGCAATGTCTCAAAACTGTCTATGCTGTGGTTGCTTTGGCATATAAAAACTGCTGAGATTGGGTTCCTCACTTCTCCTTTCTATTCCAAGATTAGCTGTTCTGTTCAGATACCTGGCACACACAGCAAAGACAATTTCAAAATTTCATAGCTGAAAGCAAACAGATCAAACAGTTGTATGACTTTACCGTGAGCAACATCTTGCAGCATTTCTTCCTCCAGGAGTAACCCAGATGGGTTAAAAAAATTGCCTGCTTATCATTAGAAGTCTCCACTACAAAAACCTGGAGCAGTGCATATCACATGCTTTTAACAAAGTCGCATGATCAGTGTCCAGATGCTTAAGTCATTATCCTTTTTTTATAAAAAGCAACTATGCTAATGAATAAAGCTGTAAAATTGCTACTGGAATATTTTGTGTTCTTGATCCAACTCTAAAATTCTTTTAGATTTATATTTCTTCAGTAATAAAACATTTACTTTGGAATTAAAAGTTCGTATTTTTTCTATCTCTATCTGACAATCTAAAGACAAACATTTTGAAATTTATTTGGGTGAGAAAAACAATTACATCTATACATGTCTACCATAAACTTCCAGCAGACACTATAACAGCTCTCATTAGAAAAGAGTGATTAAAACATTAGAAAATTAAGTTGATTCCATTTCATTAATTTCATATTACTTCTCTAAAAACAAAGAAAACAAGTAAAACTGTTAAGATTTATTCGAAACTTTGTTCACTTAAATTCATAAACCAATGTTCAATATAATTCCTCTCCCCCAATTATGTTTTTAGCATGATTTAATAATATACCTTGTTCATCTGAAGGTTTTTCAGTTGTTGCTGCCACAGAAGGACAGTTTCTAATCGGCACATCCAAATATTGATGTTCCCTACCAACACAGATTTTCCTACTCCCCTAATCAGTATACAGAGAGTGGAACTCAGATCCTGTAGAAGATCTTTGATTAATCGTGGGTTATACTGGTCTTCCATGACTGGAAAACAAAACAAACCAAATACAATTTTGGTTAACTGAGTCAACCAAGCTAATACAGTTAGCTCAGGCTAATAAACACTTGTTTAGATGAACTAACTACAAGTCAACAGTGTGTGTGCAAATAGCTGCCCTAATTCCCACCACGACATTCATTAATGCTGTTCCAAACGTGCAAGATCAACAATTAACAAGTTCACACACAAATTTCATGTAACATTTCATGCTATGCATTTAATAAACTTAATAATGAACAACTAGTTATAAATCCGATTTCTTCTGTTCAAAACTGATAGTATTATATCTCCATTTAGTGTGAGGAAAAAAGTTTTCAATACTAAGTAATAGCTTTTTTAAAAATAAACAATAAAGCAGTTATGCACTATAAATCTCAGTATATCATGCAAATCGAAAAACAAATGTTATGAACCTAAAAAGCTTCCACATTTCATTAAGAGTAAAATTTAATAGTAACCAATAGTTTCCGAACAGAATCTAATTGTCAATTAACTTCACCAAGCTGTTTCAACAGACACAATTCAATAATCAAGAGAAAACAACTTACTGAAACTGTGCGATAGGAAGTATGAAGCCTTTCACCAATTAAATACGCTATTGCTTATATTACAATGTAAAAACAGTAATAAAGCTAACAAAAGAAAAAAGTCAGCTGATAGCTTAGTGGCAGCAGTTAAATGTCAACAAGCAGATTACAAAACCTTAGTTCTTACCCTTCCTCACAATTTTGTCCAAAATGTTAAAGTAGTTCTTCTGTGCTGCACCACTCAGTGAAGTTAACTGGGATTTTGCAATTAACTGCAGAAGCTAGGACAAAGAATTAAAACTCAGAAGAATGCCAGAAGTAAAGGATGGTTTCAAATACAAACTTTCACTACATACATTCACCTACAACAGCCTAGAGCACTGCAATTGTATTTCATGAAATCTTAACTACAGAGTTCAGAAAATGAAGCAAGGCAAATGCTGAAAGCTTTAGTTTTTCCCCCTGGCATTCAATGAACAACTCAAAGTGATGTACATTTTCAAAATAATATACAAATACCAATATTTATCTCCAATATAGCACATGACATACGGCCTTTATAAGCTGTAATGAAACAATGGAGGGAGGTCTCTGTTGAAAGCTCACAAATAAAAATGTGGTCTTTGATGTGGCTGGGTCCTGAACCCCCTGACAGATTTGGTGGCCAGGAACATCACACTGAACTGATACCATCTACCAGACTTCCAATTTCTGAGTATCAGACTGGTCAAACCCAGGTGTGATGGACATAGTGCACTACTTTCTGCTCATGGAGGTGAAATGAGGTGGATTGAGAACTGGCTGAATGGCAGAGCTCAGAGGGCTGTCATCAGCAGCACTGAGTCTAGTTGGAGGCCTGTAACTAGTAGTGTCCCCCAGGGGTCAGTACTGGGCCCAGTCTTGTTCAACTTCATCAACGACCTGGATGAAGGAGTATACCCTCATCAAGTTTGCTGATGACACAAAACTGGGAGGAGTGGTGGATACACCATCAGGCTATGCTGCCATTCAGAGAGACCTGGACAGGCTGGAGAGTTGGGCAGAGAGGAACCTGATGAAGTTCAACAAGGGCAAGTGCAGGGTCCTGCACCTGGGGAGGAACAACCTCATGCATCAGTACAGGCTTGGGTGAGGCCTCATCTGGAGTACTGTGTCCAGTTCTGGGCTCCCCAGTTCAAGAAAGATGAAGAGCTACTGGAGAGAGTCCAGCGGAGGGCTACAAGGATGGTGAGGGGACTGGAACATCTCTCCTGCAAGGAAAGGCTGAGGCAGCTGGGCATGTTTAGCCTGAAGAAGGCCCAGAGGGGACTTTAGAAATGCCTACAAATATCTTTAGGGTGGGTGTCAAGAGGATGGGGCCAAACTCCTTTCAGTGGTGCCCAGTGACAGGACAAGGGGCAACGGGTACAAACTGAAGCACAGGAATTTCCATCTGAACATGAGAAAACTTGTTCACTCTAAGGGTGATGAAGCACTCGAACAGGCTGCCCAGGGAGGTTGTGGAATTTCCTTCTCTGGAGATACTCAAAACCCGCCTAGGTGACCCTGCTTCCTCATTCCATTCTGACACCTTTGCTTTTACATTTTAGATTCAGTTTTGCAGCTGATAAGAACGATTGCCTCTTCAACGAAAAATGGTCTCTCAGTATAAAATGTAAGAGAGACTTCGATTTTATGACCATATTGCAGTGTTTAGAAGTGTGGTACTGAGCTTTACAATTGCGATTCATAATGCTGAGCTCAGAACAAGTGTTCTCAGTACGTCAAAGGGAAAGCAGGGAGCAGAAACCAGCATCCTCTATGGAGTGCTCTGCACACTAACCTGCAGAGCCGTGCTTTGTAGGACAGCATCAGGCATTGGCACAGAGGGAGAACAAAGACTGCCAAAAGTGATTTTGTATCTTCATTTCTAAAACACTGATTTGACACTACACTCGACATTAATTTTCCTTTGGAGGAAGGGATAATACACCTGTTCTTTCCCTGATTTAATAACGTTCCTTCTGGCTTCTCTGCACGATCCCTGACAAAACTATGAAAGGAGGAAATAATTCTCCTGATGTATTTAAACACAAGTGATCTATTTACACAGTTTTTGAGACTAGGTATCAGGACCTCTTTCTTGGCATTTTCAAAGCGTTTTAGTTTGATTAATAATGTGGAGCACACCTAGAGGTCTCCAGCAGTTTGCCAATTCGAGCAAGTATGTACATTTCTCTTGGCTAATTTTAAAAAAAATCAGTTATGTCACTCAGACTAAAGATCAAATCAAAGAAACTAACACCTGGCTGATTTTAATGAATATTCCAATTTCAGTGAAGGTTAATATGCAAGGATTAATAAGTACAAGGATCTGACATGAGTTCAACCTTACTGATACGTGCACAGCCATGGCTTTATGTTGTCTACTAGCGTTTTATAACTTTGAATGGATCAACTGCTTATTCAAATGCAAACATTCTGAAAAAAGACCATCCATGTCAAACTCAATATATCAGACATTTAACAGCTAAGAAATTATCATTATACTACAGCACAAACACCCACAGGAAAACATGATCCCACCTCCACCCACCACTGCACATGCTGAAAGGGTCTTGGACAGACGTCTATATTAACTTTAAATAATAATTAGGAGGTTTTCAGTTAGTTTGAAAACCAAAACAGATCATCTTGGTGGTCTAGGAATAAAGAAGGGCTATCCAGTAGGGCTTGGTATTTAAAAAAAAGCTTTCTTGATTTGTATCTTGCTATCTTAAATGCAACAAGTAGAAAAACACACATAAAAGTAACCATCGTTGTGTTCATGCATAACCAGGAAAAATTCTTAGAGGAGAAGAAATGGAACTGCTGCACTGAACTTAATGTGATCTACACAAGACATCTCCACCATTAGAAATTCCAAGGAAGTAAATGAAAACTTGTACAAGTTGTATGAGCATGAACCTTGTAAGGTTCAACAAGGCCAAATGCAGGGCCCTGCACATGGGTTAGGGTAACCCCCGCTGTCAATACAGGCTGGGGGATGAAGGGATTGAGAGCAGCCCTGCTGAGAACGACGTGGGGGTACCGGTGGATGAAAAGATGAACATGACCTGAGAATGTACGCTCACAGCCCAGGCGGCCAACCATATCCTGGGCTGCATCAATAGCAGCATGGCCAGCAGGTCGAGGGAGGTGATTCTGCCCCTCTACTCTGCTCTTGTGAGACCTCACCTGGAGTCCTGCATCCAGCTCTGGAGCCTTCAGCAAAGGAAAGACATGGACCTGTTGGAGTGGGTCCAGTGGAGGGCCACAAAAATGATCAGAGAGCTGGAACACCTCTCCTCTGAGGAAAGTCTGAGAGAGCTGGGGCTGTCCAGCCTGGAGAAGAGAAGGCTCCAGGAAGACCTTATAGCAGCCTTCCAGTAACTGAAGGGGGCCTACAAGAATGCTGAAGAAGGACTTCTTACAAGGACATGTATGGATAGGACAACGGATAATGGCTTCAAGCTGAAAGAGGGTAGGTTTAGGTTAGATATAAGGAAGAAATGCTTTACTATGAGGGTGGTGAAACACTATCAGGTTCCCAGAGGGGTGGTAGATGCCCCATCCCCAGAAACACTCAAGGTCAGGCTGGACGGGGCTGTGAGCAACCTGATCTAGTTGAAGATCTGTCTGCTTATTGCAGGGGGGTTGGACTGGATGCCCTTTAAAGGTCCCTTCCAAACCCAACTATTCTATGATAAAGCAGACAGGTGTGCGATGATCTGCTTCTTACATTAGGTCTCAGTTGCAGACTGGCTTAAAATCTGACAGAGCAGATTAAAAATCCTTTTTTAAATTCTGTTACAACTTCACATCTTACTGACATCCACATAGATGTTTTAATTTATTAGATACAACACCACAGATGTTTCTCAAGTCAACAAGTTGTACAGCTACAGAATGAGCAGCAGCTGTCATTCATATTGATCATGTTTATTAGAAGCTCAGTAACTTTTAAGGTCTTTACGATGTACAGTTTCTGTACCTGCAGATAAAAGTCAGTTTGTCTCCATCACCTCAGAGGAACTGATGCAAAGGTATTTTTAAATATTTGTAACTGTAAAACAATTCTAAAGTTTTAAAAATTTCAAATAAAGATGTTAAAAGGATTTCGGAAGTCTGTCTGCTATTCTAAATCCACTCTAATTTCTTAGTCTTTAAGTTAGACTTTGCACTTTGTTTTGATAAACTGTTTTGAGCAACCCATCTTAGGCACTGCAGCATCTAAAAAAACGTGTAAAATTCTACTTCTGGATTCATTCTACCTGTTTACCATTCAAGTCAGGCACTCAAGGTTGACCCCATTTGTAACGTGATTCATCTTTTTTAGATGCTCCTTTTTCTTCCTACTGTTTGATGCTGAAAAGTCTTGGCAAAGATCAAGGTTCTTGTTTCTGCTCCCAAAACAGCATTAAAAAGCAGCGTTCTAAACCACAATGCATACATAAACCAAAAAATCTGCAAGGGGAATAAAAAAGGCAAGTACCATAATCACTAGCCTGGAATAAAGTCCTTTTTGCTTTGTTTCCTTTGGTCCCACATCTCTTGTTTTTCTGGAAGTATAACACACTGTCTCAGCTTCCCAAGGATGGGTAGAATGTGTTTTCTCTCCAAATACTCCACATCCTAGTGTTAAGGGTGTTCTCCTGGTATGTTTACTTAATTTTGATTTGTGTTTTTTCAAGCTTTGGATACATTCCAACCACCATATTATCTGCGAACAGCCTCACCACTAAGCTGAACTCTAGTCCTGGTATGTCTCACATTTTGAGATTCTCTAGGAATTGGGACCAGCACTTACTACCTCAGGTTAGAAGACAAAAAACCTTGGGGCTAGAGAAAGATCAGCATCTCCCAGAATAGGTATTTCCAAGTGGGCACCTGGTCAGGCACTGCAGAAATTATGGCATGACATTACGTGGTTCCCTAAAGTACAAGTTACCTAGCTTTGGAAAACCAGCAAATAGCACTGTTGTCCAAAACTTACAGTTTCCACACACTTAATTCTCAATTTAAAACTAGACCTGACCCAGAGAAGCTAACACAGTGACAAAGGGACTTTCCAAGGAATCATGAGATTAGTATATCATAACTGTTTCTAAAAGCTTCATGTCAATACATTATTTGTAAAAGACAACTCGCAATAAAACTCATTTCTGGAAGACAAAAAAAAAAGACTGAAAAAGCTGGAGTCTCGAGTTTTAAGGGATGTTAACAAAGGTTAAAGCATATATATCTTGTTCTAGACAAAAATAAATTTTAAAAAAGTGCAATGAATCACAGGACTGTTAAGAAGCTGCAGAAGAAACAGAAACTGCAGAATATTTACACATGAAATATTCTTCTGGAAATTGCTATTTTAAGCATATTTAAGATATACTACACTTTACTGGGTTTGGCTGTATAGGAATTATTTTGCCTTTAAATAGAGAGTTCACTACCCAGACTGATGAAAAACAACCAAAACTACCATCACTATTTCCCTCTAAATACACAGCATACTAGCCACCACCATCCTCTTCAAGCTATAGGTTTTCACAGAGCAAAATAACGAGTTATAACCAAAGAAAAATGACTCAGTTTAAAGTTGCTTCATGCAGTATAAATTACATATGAACAGGATATTTACACAGTCACAAATCATCAACTACTCAGCGCAAAATTATTTCTTTTGTACACACAGGCACAACAGCAAATGCATTTTTAATGTATGCATATAACATAAAGAGCTTACTTTGACCACGTAATTGAACCTTCTGATGTCCTGAATTGCACTTGAAAAGTCTAAGCGGTTAAAAGCTTCTCCCAAAGTGCAGTAGCCATGTCTCTGAGAAGAAGAATAAAAACACGTTGATGGAAAGAAACAAACAAAATTGACGAAAATATTCAGAAAAGCACACTGCCATGCCACTGATGCTTACATATACCATGCTCCTTGGAAATATAATGTATCTGGACTGAATATTTATTAAATTTCTTGCTGACCAAATTAAATCAGATATGCTATTTGGAACCAACAGGTACATATGCAACATTACTCATCAGCAAGGCCTTTAAATTCATACTAGTCATGCAGCCTGTAATTGCTGGTATCCGAGTGTCCTGGCAATCTACGTTGCTATTGTATGGCCACAAATGCCGGTACCCTCCCGTGGCTATCGCACTCCCCCCCATTTGCCTCAGCAGAAGGCAGAGCTTGTTCGTACAGCAGTCCGAGCTTACAGCCATAAGCATTAACTGACTGAGTTTATGTTCACTTTTGAGGGTAAGGACACAGCCACTTGCTCCTGGGATTAAACAAACGAATGGTCCCAACAGCTAGAATTTATTTTCTGGGTGCTAGAAGTTTAGGCACAATTTTTCTTAGGTAGCAAGAGAAATTACATTTTCTTTTGGCAGTTCTGCACAGGTGTCTTAAGGTGAAAATGGAAGTTTCAGAGGCTGTTGTAGAACTACTTAAGGTGGCAGTGGCAGCCCGAAATGACACGGGATCACATAGGCTGAGTAAATTTAGAGTCAAAGCCACACAGGAGTGTTGGAACAAATATAATGAGGCTAGAAAACTCTACAACTAGTGAAATAGATACTTGCAGAGCAGTGTGCTAGTGTGCCTTATCAGCCTAGGGAAGGGGGGAATAAATAATTATCTGAAGTTGATTCCTAGACAGACTTCCTTGGTGAATTATGGGGTGCTGAGAAGATGGTAGTACAACTTAACGGTCCTTTTTGCAACCCAGTGAAAGCTTACCCTGAATGTACCGCAGTGGGACAGGAGACAGTTAACTATTCACTGCAGAGTGGTGGTAATTACTGCCTTTTGGTTAATGACACTGCTCGCTCATCAAGTTAATATACCTGACATCCAAGTGTGCTGCACACTTCACAACATGCACTACTTGGCTGGCTAACAGCAGTGAACTAACACTTGCAGACAAGAAATTTTTGTTGAAATATTTGTGGCTGTTCTCTGGCTAAACAGTTATCAAAAGGCTATGCTTAAATACATGAACATGAGAACTCCCTTGAACAGCAGGAAGCACATTTCTGTGACGCTTCAGCTCTACCTTTCCTAATGTAATACCACGACAAAATTACTCCAAGAGCACCTCCTACTTAATTTCAGCTATATACCTGCACTTGTTTTGCTTTTATTTATTATTTAGTGCTCTCCCATAGCATGTTTCACATGCTTCTTATCAAGACCTTCTCCTGCTATTTTGCCCTAAAATTCAGTATCCAGTTTGGAAAAAGAATTTTAGTTGCAAGGCAGCCATTTTGAAATCAAGTAAAATTACAACCTGTAAGGAAAAGTAGAGCCTCTGTAAATTACATTTCAGATTAGCTTAAACTGTTGCTCTGAATTTTTTGGTTCAAGCATGCTTATTCCCTGCTACTTTTTCAAGTATGTTTATTCCCTGCTACTTAATTTTTTACTTTAGGCTTTTGAATTTATACAAGGAATTACTTGAAAAATATAAGTGATTAATGCTAATTACCCTTGTTTAGTTTTTTGTTTCCTTTTTTTAAAAAAAAAGAAGCAGGAAAGGTGAATGGTCAGTTATTACAAGACAAGAACAGTGAGAAGAATAAGCTAAATGGTCCACCAAAATATTTTGTCCAATCTCTGAATGGACAAGAAGTCCAAGCAAATTGTCACACATCACCAGTACACCAACACCTGCACAGGGAGGGGGTTGTGTGTGTATAGAATCTCAACATACAGTTTATGAAGAGCAGTAGTGAGTGATTTTAAGCAATTTGTCTTTTGGCCTGAATGTAGTTTGAAAACTCAGGTTAACAACCTTACGATTCAAAACAAAACACCACAATGACTGGTGACAGTCTGCTGTCCCCCATTCCTTCTTACCCTAAATTTGAGAGCCCAATGTAAGTAACTACATCTATCACAGATGAAGATAAAACTAGGAAAGAGGGCTATGAATCTGGTGAAAGACTTTGTAACACCCTTCAGAGTAGAAGGGCAGCCTCTGGGTTACTGGCTTGCAAGGTGAAGTCTTCCAGTGTCTCCTCTGTGTAACCTCTCTCCACAGCACCATGCTCTTGCCGAGTACAGTGCTCTTTATGATCTCTCTCAGCTCCAAAATTCAAAGCCAACTTTTGCCTGTGTGGCAAGTCACACTCACCTCCCTCCTCTCCTGGCTGGCACTCCTGACTGTGGATGAAAGAGAAGTCCAAGTTCCACCCACCCCAGATAACCATAGGAATCAACACAGGAATGAAACTCAAACTTCAAGACAGTTTATCTCTACATATGACAGATATATTTTAACTCCTGGCTTTCCAGGAGGTCATTTCAAGATCTTTCACGTTCCCTTTGCAGTTGCACGATACAGTTTGTATCCCAAACTGAAAGCATCACGACTTTGTGGAATACAAAGGTCCTCTCTGCAAAGTTTGAAACTGAAGTTTTACTTGTATTCAAATTTACATGAAGATTACAAAGTATCAGGTAGCTGCCTGCAGACACCTTCTCTGGAGACACTACTCTGGTTTTGCAAATACTTTCAATTTCAGTTCAAAGACACACAACACAGGGACAAACGGGCTTGGAGAAGTAGTGGAGAACCATTACATCCATACTTGCAAGTTCCCACATCTCTTCCACAATGACCCATGTAAGTCACAGAAACACAGAATAGTAGGGGCTGGAAGGCACCTCTGGGGATCATCTAGTCCAACCCTCCTGCCGAAGCAGGGTCACCTACAGCAGGCTGCACAGGACCACGTCCAGGCGGGTCTTGAATATCTCCAGAGAAGGAGACTCCACAACCTCCCTGGGCAGCCTGTTCCAGTGCTCCGTCACCCTCAGAGGGAAGAAGTTCTTCCTCATGTTCAGACAGAACTTCCTGTGCCTCAGTTTGTGCCCATTGCCCCTTGTCCTGTCACTGGGCACCACTGAAAAGAGCTTGGCCCCATCCTCCTGACACCCATCCTTCAGATACTTATAAGCATTTATTAGGTCCCCTCGCAGCCTTCTCTTCTTCAGGCTGAACAAGCCCAGCTCCCTCAGCCTCTCCTCGTAGCAGAGATGTTCCAGTCCCCTCATCACCCTTGTAGCCCTACGCTGGACTCTCTCCAGTAGCTCTTCATCTTTCTTGAACTGGGGAGCCCAGAACTGGACACAGTACTCCAGATGAGGCCTCACCAGGGCAGTGTAGAGGGGAAGGAGAACCTCCCTTGTCCTGCTGGCCACACTCTTCTTGATGCACCCCAGGATCCCATTGGCCTTCTTGGCAGCCAGGGCACACTGCTGGCTCATGGTTAACCTGTCGTCCACCAGGACACCCAGGTCCCTCTCCGCAGAGCTGCACTCCAGCAGGTCCACCCCAAGCCTGTACTGGTGCATGAGGTTGTTCCTCCCCAGGTGCAGGACCCTGCATTTGCCTTTGTTGAACCTCATCAGGTTCCTCTCTGCCCAACTTTCCAGCCTATCCAGGTCACGCTGAATGGCAGCACAGCCTTCCGGTGTGTCTACCACACCTCCCAATCTGGTGTCATCAGCAAACTTGCTGAGGGTACATTCTAACTCTTCATCCAGGTCGTGGATGAAGACGTTAAACAAGACAAGTCACTTTGCTAGCTGCCTTTGCCTCACCACGTGCAGATGTACTATGTTGCCAATGAAGAGAGTTGAATATAACCCCTAAGATGACACAGCACAAACGCCTTTTTTTTTTTTAATATACTATTTGTCAATTAAGAAGCATAAAGATCATAGGAATTGACCCACAACATGCAGGACTTACCTCTCTGGTGCTTTCTTTATGAACATAAATCCACTTTTCATGATAAAAACCTAAAATAAAAATCAAAACATTAAGCATTCTTAGGCTTCCACTTTAGGTAATGCCTTCTAGAAAGAAACCGAACAAAACAGACCATCCTCAATAAAATGCTTCATAAGATAGGAAAGATGGGAGAACAATTTTAATGAAGGAAGTTTATAAAGGCTGAAAAGGATGACTACAAATTTTCATGTTATGTACTTCAAAAAAGGTAATTAATTTTAGAAATCAAACATGAGTTGGCACACAACTGGCAGATCTAGCACAACTTTTGTCAACTGTGTACCAACAACAGTCAATTTCCTACAAAACCCCTGACCTTTTTTACCCCAACAGGCTCCTGGGCACTTAACACAGGAAAGTACAGAAATGAGCAACCTTTTTGTTCCTGAACACTCCACCCCTCTAATCTATTTTATTCTGTAAAGGTGCCTGCTCTGCATTCACCCGGTTCAACTAGTTGCAGAACGCTGCAGGGAAGTCAACTATACAAGACTAATAAAGGCAACTAGGCCGATGTCCAGCTTTCAGAAGTCTGCTATGTTGTCAAATGAAAGCATGCTCTTACATATAGCCACTTGAATAACACCCAGACAAGCCTGGGGAAGCTTCCAGCTTTCTGCAAGACCATCTCTGTTATGCTTCTGGGAATATACAAACAATCGAGATGATTTCAAGATCAAAGCATTAGAAACACCAAGAAGGTGCTTATCAACTTACCTTTTTTAACCTACTCTACCAAAATCTCTGCTTCATTAAGTTTACTTGCTGTCACACACATATTTTCCAGTCTAATGTACAGGTGATCTTTTGAAAATAAGAAGTGACAAAAATGGCTTTGATATCTTAATTTTTTAAAAAAGAGACTATTTTCAAGAAATTCAATACTGATAAAGTCTTTATCAAGAGCTATAGGTATTATGACAAATTATTTTGTTATGAACTAATTTGAGAGCCGTATCACTAATCAGAATTTGAATTAAGCAAAAATAAAACATCTGCTTTGGTAATCAGAAGCTTCCATAAGCATCCCAAAGAGCTTAATCTAAAACTTGTCCAAAAAACAAAACAGTGGTCAGTATCAGAAGACATTTATTATTCAGGAATTACTGTTCTTAAATGAATTACCTCTAGATCACACCACAGATGATCAATGCCACAGTTCAATTAAGATGTATCACTTCTGACATCAAAATTTGTTGCCAAGACAGAAGTAAACATAACTCAGAAGGCTACTCTATAGATGAATATAAATGAATGGCTACTATAAAATTTTGCTGAACCTGCAAGTCTTCTAAAATAAATAAAAAAACCCAGTCTTACATTGCGAATCTGTCCCAAAATGATCTTTTTTCCTTTTCTTGGCTGCAAACCCACAATCTTCAGTACTATATATTTCTTCATCTTCGTCATCACCAGTTAAGATGCTGAAATAAACACATCTAATTAGAACAGCAGTGATTAAATATTTTAGATGCATACAGTTTATAATTCTCCTCATTAAAGTCTCTCAGATGGAAAAGAAAAAAAAAAATGATATTTTTAATGATGCTCCTCTACCTGATGGCCTATAGCAACACATCTTGAGAGAAGCTGTCTTCCTCTTGTCTTCCCAGTGCGGCTGAATTTTGTGCCAGGGGTTATATACAGGATACCTCTTAGGAAGATACTTTTGTATAAGTCATTACTGACATCAAGGAAGGACTACTGAGGAGACAGTACTAGTTGGACAGTTGGCTGTCTGCAAACCTCTAGTGTACAAAAATTCATTATTTGAAATGGACTAAACCTTGAAAAACTGTGCACACAGGTAAAAGTCAGTGCAGAATTACTGCGCATCCTCGCACAGGCAGAAAGCCAGCAAAGAAACACATCTCTGTTACTACTGTCAACTTTGAGGCAAAGAAAGTCTTTTAATAAACGCCTGAACCACAATACTGCACATAATTTAGGTGTCACAATACTGTTTTACCAATGATTTGTAGGGCATCGAGAATCATGTGTCCTACTCCCCTCTCTCCCAGACAAAAATCAACTATACCCATGTCACTTCTGACAGTTAACTACGTAACCGAACATCAAGGACTATACTGAATAATTATATATATATAGTGTACATCTAGGCAGTTTGAGTATAGATCTATATATTAAAAAATAGATAAACTATTTTTTAAAGTTTTGTTGGATAAACTAATCTTTCTAAAACACACATACATCAAAACAATGCCTGTGCTACATAAAGTCTACATGGTTTCATAAGGTTTTTCTTTAAATTTTTGCAAATAATTTTAAGCAACAGCAATACAGATAACAATGGGTGTTCATTTTTCTAGCCCAGAGAAGGAAGATACTTCATAATGAAGGCCACAGCCTTGCACAGACAAGCAGAATAACTAAAGATATGTGGTAGTGAAGTTTAACTACAAAACTATTTTATTTCCCCATTATTTTTTTTTCACTAGAAAGTTGTACGCAAAACCCTTCCTATTCATTACAATTTTTTAATCCAAATTTGCCAGATGAATCTATCAATGTAAGTTTGAACTTCAAACTGCACCAGCAAAAGCTGAACATTGTAAAAGTGAAGGACACCAGTTTATTAAAAAATAACCTGTACTCAGACATTAAGTTGCAAAAAATTAGCTTATTGCTACTAGTTTATACAGTTAATTTTCAGACATGAACCATCTGTTAAGGAGGATCAATAAACAACACTGCAAAAAAGTTTTGGTTTTTTTATTGCTCTAATAAGTAATGTTAGCTCAGCTTAAAGATAACAAAAATTTAGAAGACTCAGAAGCAGAAAGTTGCTTTCCTCTTAGGTTTAAATCCTGAAAAAAGCTAACACACCACTGTGTTCACTCAAAGCTCAATCCAAGGCGAGGGCCTTATTTCATGTATTACCATTTTCAAAGCAGAGCATAAAGACTCAACAACTTCAATATTCTACGCAACATTGCCAAATATCATATTTGGTCAAACAGCAAAAGAGTTTGGAGAAAAGGAACTGGCAACTGCCAAAAGCAGAACACCAACACTGACAAATTATTTTAATTATGTAACATTCCAATCCATCAGGTTTTTTTCCAAAGCTATCAGAAAGGAAATCTCTTTTTAAGCTCACCAAAACAATTTAATTATGGTTTAGCATATTGACTGCATCCCCACAACACATGAGAAGTTACCAAAGACTCAGAAAAGTTGCTAGCGAATCAGGTATAGAGTCCAAAGTTCCCAGGCCTGGCTTTATCATCCTAACAACAGATAGAAGACTGGAGAGATAAGGCCTGATAGTCTGCAGTGTGATTCACGCAGAACAGAAACACACTCATTCCCATCGACCCAGTGCCGCGGGGGAGGAGGGGAGGTGGCATTC